AGGAGGCCAAAAATGATGTATTCAGTGTATAAGATGCACCCAGATTTTCACTCTCTTTTTTGAGGGAAAAAGGTGCGTCTTATACTCCCAAAAATATGGTAGTTTCGGGGGGGGGGGGAACAGGAGAGTATAAATAGTTATAAACAGAAAATTGACATTCTCACTCAACAGATGGCTCTGAAATGACTCTTAGAGAAACTGATCCTCAAACATAAGAAAAATATTAGCCATGACTTTACTCTCTGGGTGTACTTGCTAAATGAGCTAAAGGTAATCCTTGACTTACAGATATTCATTTAACAACTGTTCAAAGTTACAATGGCACCGATAAAAAATAATAATAAATGACCGATCCTTATACTTATGACTGATACAACATCCAGAGTCACATGATCAAAATTTGGGCACTTGGCAACCGGCAGGTATTTACAATGTCAAAGTGTCATGTGATCACAATTTGCGATATTCCCAGCTAGCTTCCAACAACAAGAGTAGAGTAGAATACAATAGAATTCTTTCAGAAGTGGGTTCCGAATCCCATTGCAACTGGTACACTGCAATGGGGCCAGGTGTCCTTGGGCACACACACTCCACCGCCCTGCGACTCCCTAGCTGCTCAGCGGAGGTCACACAGACACCATACGCTGTGAGCACATATGCAATTGGCCCGTTTCCTTCAAAAAGCGGTAAGGAACACAGGCGGGTGGGCCCAACGAGCTACCGTTCCGGTATGGTGGCCGCTGCTCCCAACTACCACCAGTACACCCGTACCCGGGGCGGTTCACCCAGAACCCACCACTGAATTCTTTATTGGCCAAGTGTGATTAGACTCACAAGGAATTTATCTCCTGTGCATAAGCTCTCAGTGTACATACAACAATAGTGATAGATCAGTTAATGGGTGAAACTAGATTTGCTTAACCACCACACGATTCACTGAAGAACTGCAATGATTTGCTTAACAACCATGACAAAAAAGACCATAAAATCAGGTGTGACTCTCTTAAAATGCCTTGCTTAGCAATGGAAATTTTGGTCCCAATCATGGTTGTAAGTTAAGGATGCCTGCATAAAATTTTTTTAGAGAGTCTTGACCTATTTTAATCTCTCAGTTGCTTGCTGAAGATGCTTTTCTTCTTTCATAAATTTTCCCAGGTGTAGTAATCATAAGATATTTTTCTTAAATTTTCATCTTTATGGCCTACATTTTTTATGATTAACTGCCTGGCGAGTATTACTTTTTAGATGATATACAAACATTGTGCCTATATAAATATACCCAACCATTGAAAGAAGGAAGCAAAAACAGCAAGGGAGGGTGGATGGTTTTTAGGGTTTTCATTTCTATTCACCTGTTTGAAGACTGCATGACGTCACCAGCAGCTACATGTATGTTTTCCAAAGCCCGCAGATCTTCTGCTGTCAGCCTAGCCAAATACACGCCAGCCAGTCTCAGCAGCGGGGAGTGGTGCCGAGCCTTCCCCAGAATGTAACACAGTTGCTGCACCAGAAACCAGCCCTCCCAAGCCATGTTCACAAAGGGATAAGCAGCCAGGAAGGCCTTGTAAAACCGCTTCCAGCAGGATGACGGAGGGTGGATAGAATAATCGTCCTCTTCCCGGAGACGGGAGATCAACTTTTCCAGTTTAGTTCTCAGATACGGAACCAGGACCAGCAAGCAGAGAGATTTCCAATGATGCTTTTGGGGAAGTCCAGCAGTGGCCAAGGATCCCTGCTGATTCCTTTTGCTTTTCAGTGCAACTCTCTTCAAGCCATAGAAGTTTTCAGAAAAAGAAGCACTGCACCGAAAGAGGTAGTGTTGCTGGAGTAGAAGATCCAGGAAGGTGTAGATTTCGTCAAACCAGCGCCACAGAAAACCATAATATGAAGGGTTGGATTCAGCCAATACCTAATACAAAAGACAATCAAGGGTAAGAGTAATAAACCTGGATGTGTCATGACATTTTTATCGACGTTTGAAACATTTTTGTTTTGGCTACTTGTGGATTTTTTTTTGCTTTGAGATTGTTGCAAGTTTAGACATCCTTTTTTGAAGATGAGGGCTATGTGGCCTTTGACATGTTAGAAGTTGTGTTCCATTATTGGATCAGAACCAGGAACTGAAAAGCAGACGTGGCTCACACACGACGACAAAAATAGATCTAAAAATAGAGTAATAATGCAGTTAATAGCATTATAATATTTCATAATTTGCTCTCTCAAATTCAAAATTTCACAATCATTCGAAAGCTTTAAGGTCATACTCATAAATTGGAATCCACATTGATGTTTTTATTATTTTAAACTGGATTTGCTTTAATTATTTTCAGCAGAAAAATGAATAAAATTCTAAGCTACAAATTATAATTTATAGATATTTAGATTTCCATTGTAGGCTGAGTGGAAAGTCACTGATTTGATTATCCTGGTCTGACTCCAGAGCTTAACAAGATCTGAGGAAGGATTCTCTTTCTGTATCTTGATTCCTGAAATAAATCTGCCAATTGTAAAAAAGATGGATGTCACTTTTTTTCCCCTGTCCTTCCATATTTCTTTCATTGTTCTGACCATTGTTCAATCTTAGATAAGCACAGAAAAGTAATGGTTATCCTTCCCTCAGGACTCACTTACCAATCATTCTTACCTTGATCACATGCTGAAATGCTGGTCTCACAGCAGTCATCAAACTGTCTTGGGCAACAACTTCAAATATAGAAGGCCTGTCCTCATATGTGGAGGTGGCAGTGAGATGAGCCCCATGTTCTGCCATGGTCTCTTCTGGAATAAAAAAAAGATACTTTCCAAAATTCAAAAAGGAAACAAAACGGAATTGAATTTCAGAAGACATCATTACAAAAGCCCTCAATCTTTCTGTTTAGAATGATATATGGATATATTTAAATTATTGACCTTTTCATGTTTAATTTGATTGAAAAACAGCAAGTTCTTTCATACAGTAATTATTTCTCTCAATGAAGATGTATACAACAGCTATAAGACCCACATGGCACTCTGTAGTTGCTGGATGCATCAAGCCACATTTCATACATATTTTAGCCTAATATGTTATGTGAACTCAAAGCCCATGATTAGCACATAGTGCTAATCGAGGTTGCATTGAGTCAATCAAGTTTAACTTGAAGAACTTTGCACAAATGCACCTTATCTCTATCATTTTCATCCAATTCCCCCCCCCCCTATCTTTTTAATATATATTTTAAGGTGGCAGACATATCTAATACTTCTGCCTATTTTCCCCCACAACAGTTTTGTGAAGTGGGTTGGGCTGAGGAAGAATGAATGGCCCAAAGTTGCCCGGCTAGCTTTTATGTCTTGGGGAGGCCTAGAACTCACAGTCTCCTGGTTTCTAGCTCCTTAGAACCTTAACATTCCACCAAACTGAATTTTACTCCAAATCTTGCCTGCTACTTCATAACTTTTCCTCACCAACAGCCTTGCCCCATCCCCCCATCCAAGACTTTCTCCAGGAAAAGAGCCTGCAAGAAATCTGCGGGAATTCAAGGCTGCTTCATCTAATGTAGATCCATGTGTCGCTGGTATGGTCAGAGAGCTGGATTCAAATCCTTGCTCAAATACAGGTAGTCCTCCACTCACAACCACAACTGAGCCAAAATTTACATCGTTAAGTGAGAAATTTGTCAGGTGAGTTTTGCCTCATTTTACACCTCTTCTGCCACATTTGTTAAGTGAATCACTGCAGCTGTTAAATTAGTCACAAGGTTGTTAAGCGAATCTGGCTTCCTCATTGACTTTGCTTGTCAGAAGGTCGCAAAAAGGCAATTCCATGACCCTGGGACACTGCAACCGTCATAAATGCAAGTCAGTCATCAAGCATCCGAATATAAAACATGTGACCATGGGGATGCTTCCAGTCATAAAAGTGTGAAAAATGGTCAAAAGTCACTTTTTTCAGTGCCGTTGTAACATCAGTCACTAAATGAACTGGTGTAAGTCAAGGACTACCTGTAAATTAATTAACTTGGTGAAGAAGATGCTGTTGGAAGAAATGTTCATCTGGGTTCAGTTCCAAGTGGGGAAAAAGACACTGGAAACATGGAGGCTGCTTGGAAAGATGGTTTTAATTGTGGACAGGATCACTTGCCTTGGAGATCCTGGGTGAAAAGAGGGATCACATGCTTTAAGATGTTGGCTGAAGAAGGAAAAGGGAAGGAATGCTGAGAGAGCCTGAGTTTTATACCCTCCCTTGAGCCCCACCTTAAGAGCTTCCTGTTCCTGTCCACGAAATGTATCTCATTGGCTGTCAGACTCCCGGGGTGGGGTGGGGAAATCTTAGCTAACTTTGTAGGCTGTCCTGAGACCCAAGCTTGTTTGCCTTGCTGGCTGATGTACCGTATTTTTCGGACTATAAGACACACCGGTGTATAAGATGCACCAAGATTTCGAAGAGGTAAGTAAGAAAAAAAACGTTTTTGCCTTCCCGCAGCCCTCTGCAGGGTTCAGCAGGGCTGGGACAAGGCAAAAATGCCCCCGTTTTTGCCTTGCCCAAGTCCTGCTGAAGCCTGCAGAGTGCTGCTGGGGGCTGAGGGAAGGCAAAAAGGCCTCCATTTTTCTGCAAAAACGGGGGTATTTTTGCCTTGCCCCAGCTCTGCTGAAGCCTGCAGAGGGCTGCTAGGGGCTGAAGGAAGGCAGAAAAGCCTCAATTTTTGTGAAAAATGGGCCAACTTTCACAAAAATAAGAGGAGGGCGGGGCTTCGGGAGGACAAAAATGGCTTTATTCGGTGTATAAGATGCACCAACATTTCCACACCCATGGGGGGGTGTCTTATACTCTGAAAAATACGGTAATCTTCCCAGGTGCCATGTGGTGAGATGAGTAGAGGGTTAATCCTACCTTTGGTATGTAGAATAGAGTGGTTCAGACCTTAATGGCCCATTGACAAAGGGATGGGAAGAGGGCAGGAAGCTTCAGGGAGCTGCTTTGTCTTTAAAAACATGTTTCTTCCTTTTCTCATCCAGGGAAATATAATATTCTGCCTTTTTAATATTTCCTTGAATATTTCATTTTTCTAGGAGGGGGTGGGTGGGTGCTACCTTCCTACAATGCAAAACGAGAGGACGTTGCAACTCAACAGCACCAACCAAATTGAGACCGAATGAAACCAATAGAGCAGAGGTCCCAAAACTTGGCAACTTTAAGACTTGTGGACTTCAAGTCCCAGAATTCTCCAGCCAGCAGAACTGGCTGGAGAATTCTAGGAGTTGAAGTCCACAAGTACAATACAATAATAGCAGAGTTGGAAGGGACCTTGGAGATCTTCTAGTCCAACCCTCTGCCTAGGCAGGAAACCCTATACCATTTCA